CTCTTTCCTGTTCTGCAATGTGCAAACAGCCCAGTGACGTAGCAGGATAACACTATTTGAACAGTCTCTTCAGTCAAGGATTTTTCCTATAAATTGGATGGGAATTAATGGATATGCATGTGACTGTGATATCGCATAGCGTGAAGGGAATAGAAAACGCAGCGTGTTATGGCAGGAAACGAGGCAGGAACATTTTCTCAGCAAATCTGGCTTGACAAACTAGCAGGTAGCTGCAGAGGCGAAAGAGGACAGGCTTCTCTCTCACTTCGCTGGATGGATGGAGTTCGTAATGTCCTGGGAGTGATCTGTGGAAGGAGTAAAGGGATGCCCTTGCTTTTTTGTCTCACCTAAAAGATGTTATTTAACATTGATTACGTACCTTTGCTCCATACACTTGTACCAGTGCTTTAACGCCGCTGCTGCTGTAGCCATGGAGCAGTTCTCCCTGCCTGGGTGGGCATACAGCTGCCTCCTCCTGTGGAGCAAATGGAGTGTTTCATCCATCATGCACGGTGCAAAATTAAGTCCTTTCTCACTTCTCTGTCACTTAGTTTCAAAATTTCCTGTAGATTGCTTCATATCACCAGATCTGTCTTTTCATCTGACAGCACCTTCCACACTCTGCTTTCTCAAAATCCCCTGTGAAATTCACCCATTTTGAGCAAATCGCTCTTAAACAGTTTGCTACTGGAGGAAAGGACTTGTGCGTTACTTCTAGAGGAGTGCTATCCCTTGCAGAGCCTCAAAGCGTGTGTTTCGTGTGTCACATTTCCCAGGGCATGCTTTGAGAAGACCACCTGGGTTGAGACCAGGCACTTTCGCTCATCCCTGCATAGATGTGGACCATGGTGTTCCTTTGCAAGCTGGACTAGCAGTAGTCTCTGTCAGTCCTTGGACACTGTGTCAAAGGGTGACAGGAATGACTTGTATTTGATCTTGAAGAACTTCCTGATAATTCCAAATCCCTTTGGGCTGGATTTTTTGGGCTGTCTCTGTTGACCTGTGGCATTGGAGGGCTGGATTCGGGACAAGGTGAAACGTCTCAAGCACCAAGATATTCTTCTTCCAGATGGCCACCTTCTGAACGGATTCTGTTTGCAGAGCAATTCCAGTCATGTGGAAAACGTGACTTCTGCCGGCACAGCTCATCAAAATGACTGAAATCATTATCAGAAGGTTATCAAAATACTTGAATGTGGAGTCAGCTTTGTGCTATATGAAGCAAACTAACATTTTGATAGAAGCGTTGGTGTACATGAAGGTTAAAATAATAAAAAGGGGTTAAAATTCTGTCACAAAGGGAAGGTTTTTGGGTTAGTTGGGGTTTTTTTACAATCTCAGAAGGTTTCCTGAAGAAGATTCACTTTGAGCTGTTTAGCTCAGCTAGAGGTAGAAATTTTTGCTTCATCTTGTGCCATTTCATGGGAAATACTTATTAGCCCTGATACTTTAGTCAGCCAGTGTGACATACCAGCGAGCCTCTATTCTCTTACTGGTATTGCACCAGTCACTGCAATACATAGAAAAATCCACCCCCACCCCTCCCCCTCCGCAACACCCTCAGCCACTGGATGGGAGGGAAGGCATGGTGACACTTTCATACTGGGAATATAATGCGTTTCTTCACTTTGTCTGGAAGCAGCTCCCAGAAAAGCAGTATTGAACAGTGGTGTCTGAGCAGTGGCCCCAAAGGCGCCAATGACTGCTGCAGCGTGGGCTGGAGCAGCTCCGCAGGCTGCCCGGTCCCTGCAGGATCAGGAGGCTGTAGGCTCTCGGGCTGCCCTTCTGCAGGGGACAGTGTCCTTGCCCCCTGTGTCGCTGACACGGCAGGTCCCACACCCGGTCTCGCTGCTGGAGGGGGCCTGCAAGGACAGCAGCCGGGCATGGCTGGTAGGAGAAGTGGAACCAGCACCTTTCCCCACACTTGGCATGTACAGGGCATTGATGAACCATTAATAACTCCTGTATGGTCACCAGGTTTAACAAGGAAAGGCTACTGAATAACTCAGTGTGTCTTAGCAGCTACATTGCTGATTCTCTAGATAATATTTTACTTCTGGTTTTAAGTTTTTGCTGTCCTTGCATGATGTTACACTGAAATAAACTGTTCTCTCCAGCACAGAAGTTGTTAAGGGAGGGACATGTAAGAAATTATGGGAAGTAAGTTGCTAAAAATCCTTTAATTTTTAGCTCCTAGAAACTCTGAGCTCTTACATTGAGCTGTGCTATATGTCACTGACGCATCAGCCCATCAAAAATATGCACTTCAATGAGAAATAGGTCCTTGTGAAATGTGCGAGAGACTTAGCACTGGGACTAAAGTCCTCAGCTCCTCTGTGAAGCCGACCCAGCCGGGCAGCAGCCGTGAAATTTTCTTTTCACTTCACTGCCCATGTGCCTTGGTTCTGACCCAGGGAAACCTCTTCAAGAGGAGTACAATTCGGGTCACGACTTGACAAGCCCTTCACTGCATCAGGTCTTCAGTTTCCAGGTTCACTCTGGGCAAAACTTCACCTTTCCCATGTAGATATGGCAGACCTCTGGTGTGGGGCCGTTGTGCAAATAGAGGCAATATGGCATTCTCTTGAGCTCTTGGTTCTCCTTGGCCAAAAGATCTCTCTCTTTGCTTTTCTGTTCCCCCTGCTGAAATCACTGCCTTGTGTTGAGTGTTGATTAGGAAGAAAAAATTAGGTGCTGGACCAGTCTCCTGGCAAAATCCATCTCCTATCTGCCCTGCAGGGGCAAAACACTGGAGTGTGGGCAGCAGCAATCGTGATTCCTGCTCCGCCGCTGAACTCAGCAAGAAGCTAACATTGGAAAGAAGTCTGGGATGCTGAGCAAGTGAACAAGCAGAGCTCCTCCTGGGGCTGGGAGAACTTCCCTGTGGTCTGAAAGGGACCATACAAAATACTTTGTATGTGGTTGGATTTATTTCTGGGTATCACCACGTGTATACACAATAGAGCAGACAACAATTTGTGGGGATCTGGGTAGAGCTTTAGGGTCAGCTGTGTGGGTTAGGAAAGCCAAGGAATTTTCCTTGATGGGAAGGAGGTCTGCTCCATCAGAAGGAGGAAGGCAGGCTGGGATGGAGGGAGGAGGCATTTCATACATAGCCACCTGTGCCACTTCTCCATGGTGTAAGGTAATAGTGTCCTCTGGCAAACAAGTGTGCAAGGCTGTCTTCTGGGGTCAATATGTACAACGGGGAACGGCCCCTCCACAGCGAGCGTTACCCTGCAAAGCACCACCCTTGGTGATTTTCCAAGCAGAAAGGCACTGGGAACAGCGGCTCTGGCGCAGTGTTGCAGGGCTTCACGGGATTACTTATTCACTGTGTTCTTGGAACAGCTCCAGGCTTCCCGTCTCTGCCTCCAGTGTACAGATTCATCAAGTATCCACAAGGCTCACAATCCCCAGAGGCAAGAGGAGGCAGCGGGAAGGTGATTCATACTGCAAATCACGCTGTCTCCGAAGGACCTGCGGGGCTCTGAAAGACCGAACCGCTATCGTCCCTTCTTCTGCCTCCCTAACGTTTAATCAGGGTAATTAAGGCAGCAGACTCAGTCTGGATGGATTTCATTGCCGGGGCCATTGGAGGTAAATACATGAAGTAGAGCTTGTTGATGAAAAGCAGGTCGCTGTGTTTCCTTGTTCAGCTAACGGGCAGGTCTCAATGGCAAAGCTGAGAGTCTTTTGATGGGAGCTGCTTGTTACAAGTGCATTTTTGTTTATTAAATGGAAAATGTCATCAGAGCAGGCTCACAGAGCTACTGGAGCGGCAGCGCTGCAATTTGGTCAGCTGAGGCCGTTGCCCTGCAATCTCCTCCGGTCTGATCGTAGCCGGACAGGGCAAAACTCTGACAGGAAGAGACGCATGGAACACGTTGCTTGCAGGTACAAACCGGCGAGCCATGCCCGGGCAGCAAAAACTCACATGTCTGGTGCCTGGGGGTCCTGGCAGGCTGTTGGGGTCGTGGCTCTGGGGGTTGAGGACGCAGTTTGTGAGACAGGAGGGGTCGGGGCATGGCTTTTTGCAATGAAGAAAGTCTGAATGAATGATCTTTGCATTATCTCAGGTTTAGATGCGTTTACAGTTGTTATGGTAATTTTACTGCAGGCGTGCTACGTAGCAGGCTTTGATCTGGGAGAAAGTAGGTTAACCATATAAAAAAAGTAAAAGGAGAAAAGTGTGATTTCATTCTAGATATTTTTAGAGCATGTACTGCTCAAACCCAGCTTGATTTTAAACAACAAAATGTTGCCACTGGTCTTATTTCTTTTCTGAAATCTTGTCAGATTTAGCAAAGTATCAAATACCAAGACAAGAGTCTTGGGGTCACCGCTGCCAGCAAGGCCAGGTAGACCTGCCAGATGGCTGGGACGCCCAGCCCAAGCCTGCATGTCAGACCTCACTTAGGGGCCTGCTGAAATTTGGCAGTTTCCCTCACCAGGAGCAGCCTGTGGGCCTGGTGCAGATGTGCACTTCCTAGGAAGGACCATGGTGAGTTTTACCCTGCCGCCCCTTATTGCTCATTGCCCAAAATATGCAAGTGGGGTGAGATTTAGCGTCTCAGTGACATCCAGCCAGGAGGTGCCTGTTGCTCAGGGTGTTGGCCTGCCTGGGGTGCTGGGGGACCCCACTTGGGAAGGATCCTTCCTGGGAGAGTGGGATATAGCCAAACCCTCCACGACAGAATCACAGAATCACAGAATGGTAGGGGTTGGAAGGGACCTCTGTGGGTCATCTAGCTCAATCCTCCTGAAAGGACAGCTTTCCTTTCTCCTCCTCGTTGCTCGCTGACTTCAGAGCACCCAGTGGAGATGGAAGCCCTGTGCTGCGGCTGGCAATGGGATGTTGACCCCGGAGGGATTCACCAAAACTCCTCTGACACTTCATGTCAGTGGTGGGGCAGTGGTGATCGCATTTACTGCTTGGACTGCTTTGCTTTTGCTGGCATGGTTAGACCTGAGCCAGGAATAAGTCCTTCTGCAAGGACCGTGGAGAGATGAAAACACAGTTTCAAAGCAGCCATTCTCCTCAGCCTTCTGCCCCCGCTGCCATACAAAGCCGTGGTCTGTGCAGTGACCCTTGTCCAGGCACCAGCACCGCGTGATGCCCGGCCATGCAACAAGTGTCTCCCGTGGGTGTCCTGGAAACAGGCTCAACCTGGGACGATAAGGGCCGGGGAACTTCAGCTGGGGTCAGAAATTGGGGTTTTGTGCTTTTTTTCACGCACTTCACTGCCCCAGGGTGTGAGAGAGTAAGATTTTTCCATCCTGGCATCTGTGTCAAGCTCAGGGCTTTTCTAAGAGGGATAATGGAACTTTTCACTGGAAGAGAGGGGTGTTGTCTGGCATGCTGTTCCCTGCTGGGGGCTTGCCCGTAGACATCTGCAAGGTACCGAGGGCAGGGCTTAAGGGCCGTGGTCCGTACCCCCGGCATGGGACAGCTTCCACAGGTGGGACAGCTTTCCTGTGAGAACTGGGATGGTTCTGGTGCTGATCTTACTTCATGGCTTGTCTTGGCTGGAGCTGAAGCAGTTTTTGCGTTCCCAAGGAGGCTGCAAACCCAGCTAAAGTGCATCAAGCAACTCAAGATAATAACAAACAGCACAGATAATAACGGAGTTTCTGTTTAGTAAATTACATTCTTGTGACTTTGATCTGTTTCAGAGTGTTTTGGAGAAAGCATGGCTTAAGCACCTCTGAAAACCAGCAGAGATGCTGCTTTTTAGAAGCCAATGTAATGATCCAGCCTGGCTCAGGCACCTCCACAAATATTGTGCATCTCTTCTGAGCTGTTGCTTCTGTGGTCATGGGATAAGTTCAGCATCTTCATCCCAGGAAACAGTGACCTGCTGTGACTCCAGTTGGAAAAAATGTGAGAGAAACATGCTTAATGGCTGTGGAGACCTTCCATAACCACCAAATGGGGCTGGATGTTGGGGAAAGCCGCTCGTCTATAAGGATGTCCTTCCTGGCCAACAAAGCTGAGCAGGAGGTTGGACTAGAGGCCTCCTGAGGTACCTTCCAACTTGAGTCTTCCTATGATCCCATGCATTTTTCTAGCCCTGCTACAGCAGCAGCCTGGGCCATGTCAGGGGTTGCATGTTGATGATTAGGGCTATTGATGACCAGAGGATGACTTGAGCCTTGTGCCAGGCATAAAGATTTGGGAAGGGAAAGCTGAGGTTCACCCAGGGGTGGCAGAGCAGCAGGGTCTGCAGCATGCCCAGGCTTGTCCACATCTTGCTGCAAGATTACACACCAGTCACATGGAGTCCAAGGCTAGGTAAAATAGTCTGCCTACAGAGGGAACACGCCATCTCCTTGTCCTTACGGTTAAAGCAGCTCCTGCTGGCCACTGCCAGGGTCATGTTATTGGATGGAGTTGTGGTGCTGTTTAGGGTATGGGACACTTCTGATATTCCGATCTCTTCACAAAGTAAAGGTCTTTGGAAGTTGCTGTCTACCCATCCAGCACATGGATCACAATCCCTGCTTCTCCCTGGGTCTCTCAGATGGGCATTTGCCAACACCTTGGAGATGTTGCAGCCCAGTGGGCTCCGTATGGCTGCTGCTTGCTCTCTGCTGACTGCCATTGCAATGGCCACCCTGCCAGGATCCCTGCTTATCTGAATTGCCTGGTCAAAGCAGCCTGACTCGTGAAGAGACTGAGAGAAATCCAGTTATGTACCTGCACTCTGTGGGTGTGTG